TTTTTCGGTAATAAAGAAGGGCCAAATCCACATCCCTCCCGTTTATTTTCAATTCACATCTTATATAAGTATAAGTTTTAATTAAGTCTAGTAATAAATCAAACTTCATATACAAGACAATTTGGACGCTTAAGATTGTAAAGAAATCAATAAGCTCGATCAAACTCAGTGTTGGATCGCATTTTAATTAAAATTGTATAGTTTCCAAAACCAGCTTTCTCAACTTAGAATGAGTTAAAAGTTGATTTAAAAGAAAGAACATCTCATCGAATCTTTAGTTTGCAAAAATATAACTCCACATCTTTTGGAAAAGAAGATGCCAAATGAACAAATTAATTATATGTCCTCATCTTCTTTAAATCGTTGTTTGATCGATTGGCCTTGTGGGGTTTGCAAGTTTTGGCCATTTGGAGATGTGTATTGCAAAACTAAGGACAAAAGAAAGGTACAAAATGAGGCCAAACTACATTAAAACTTGACCTGACTAAAATAGTTTTTGACATTTCCAAAGAGATATATTATTGTTCCATTTCCACGTGCAATATGTGCAAATCTTATTATGTATATGGATTGGATAAAAGGAGCTATCAAATGGAAGTACAGTTTGCCCACAGGTTTGGGGCATGGTTTTCCCATGGATTTCAATATCCAGCAGCAATCAAGAGATGGACTGTGGAGCCATTACACTATTGACTTTGGTTTCTATCAAATCTCTAGTGAAATGAATTGTATGCTATTGAATATTATTAATTGATGGTATACCCTACAAAAATTTATATTTTTGTCCTTAGAAGTGCAACTTGGAGCTGTACCTGAATGACAAAGGATGAAAGAAAAAAAAATCAAGAAAAAAATAAGGGTCTTCTCTATTTTTGAAGGGCCTGCTCAATTAATACTCCCTATCTTTTTGAGATCTTAGGTCTCAACATTTAAGACTCTCATCTTTTATATGGCATTTTACAGTTAGAGATTTTTTGTTTTTATTGGTGTAATTATTTGATGAGGATAGTAAACCAATTTAGCTTGCTTGTAACATGATTTCATCCCAAGGTCTCTCAGTTGTCTGTTTTCCTTTCTATTAGTTCTCAAAATTTTCCTATTTAGAGGTGTAAAATTTCACAACCAAAAACAAGAAAAGACAACAAATACTAGTGAATCTGACTTTGTTAGGAAAATAAACCGATCTAGCATTAAAAAAAAAATTTTTTTTTTTGGTAAACATGAGTTTGGGTAGGTTCAGCTCCTATTACCACTACGGATCAGGGTAGGCCTCCGGGCTTATAGAGGTATTTAAAGATCGCCCATCAACACAATTCTCAGATCGATAAGGGGATTCAAACACACGATTTTTTGTGAGAAATTAATCCTTTTTTATCAATTAAATCAACTTGTGTTGACGGATCTATCATCAATGGCTCTTGGAAAACTCACCTAAATGCAGTGAACCAAAAAAAAAGTTTATTATATTAAAGTAATTGTCTTTTGTACACCTTCCCCGTACAATTTTCACCTTCTGATTAAGCAACAACCATTTCAAACTATTAGAGTGTCCTGCACAAAAATTTGGAAAAAATTATAAACCTTAGAATTGTAATATTTTTTTTCTTTTTAATCCTCCTACTCCACTCCCCACACTTAGTCCACATCTTTTCTACCATCAGTTACCATGTTCAAGATTCGAACTCTGCATCCTTCCTACTCCGAACAAGCATTGTAGGTTTGGTTTTATCACAGAATAATCTAGCTTGTGAATTAATCTCATAACTAATCCTTTAAAATCAAGTTTCACCTCTACTAAATATACTTTTTCTATGATGGTTACTCTTCAACTACCACTAGTGTTCTCCAAAGTAATCTATACACATTCATTCCGTTCATTGTCATTTTTGTCAAAAATTTAACCAGATAAATACACATTAAATAGGTAGTATTAATATCCCAAAAGGTTTCCCGAGTAATCATTAGTTTTCACCACCTCACTTTTTCTTTTTACACGTTAATGAGTCTTTTTTGAAAGTCCTGCTTTTCTTTGTGTTATCCTTATCTTTCCCTTGATCACTTAGCTAATCACATGCAGGTGATTTGCCTTTTCTCCTGTATTGATGATAATAGCAAGAAAATTCACCAAACCCTAACAGGTTAAGTCACCCTTCTAATCTAAGCTCAACTTGTTTATAAAAATGGATTTATGTGGGACACATGTAAACCAGTTCAGAGAAAAGTAGATGTAGAAGAAGTGCACTTAGGAAGTCTTTCTTAAACATTTGTTTGACAAAACAGGTTTCAGAGCCTAGACCATCATTTCTAGACAAATTAAGAAAATGCTTGAGCTGATTAGCTACCAACCTTACCGAACTAGGAAAGTCTTTATGCTCGACACAATCTCTAAATCTAGTTAGCAGTGGAAAATGTGTCCACATTTTTGTCCTCTAATAAAAAATTACTCCCTCCTTCCCACTTTGATAGTCATGTTTTCCTTTTTCATCTGTCCCAAATCGTAGTCCACGTTCCAATCAATTGAAGAATGTAGTTATGTTTTAATTTTTCTAAAATACCCTTATTAACTTCTTATACAGCTGTCATTGCAGAAAAGACACCAAGACATGCACCTACCATGCAAAGCAGACGCGCCATGCAGCCGAGTTTTCTCTTTATGAACACCATCCGTCAGGATATCGTACCTTCAACTTGATTGTGATTTATCATTTATGTCATCAAGTCACTGTATATACATGCAGAAGTACTGGTGAAGAAGAAGTACTGGTGAAGAAGTGGAGTGACATAAGGATTTTTGCTTCTTAAGAACAAATCATTGATTGAATCATTAGCCATGGAAGGAGGAGGCTGCTATTGTGTCCCTGATGGGCCTCAATGCGATTGTGTCCCTGATGGGCTTCAAGACTGTCAATGCTCTTCTGTCTCGCCAGTGACCAATCCTCCCTCGCAATTGACTCCAAGTAAAGATTCAAGATCCGAAGGGCCAAAGAGAACGAAGAGAAGAGAGAAGGAAATTCCACGATTATTGAAAAGCATGTCTCAGCTTGCAAATTTCAACTTCGTCTTCCAAGGTGTCATTTTCACACCCTTCTTTGGTAATCCCTCACGCCTCAAATGCCAATACCGTTGGGTCCCCGTTTCCCTCTCTTTGATTGCGGGTTTACTTAATCTATCAATTTTGATACATATGACTTGGAAGTATGATCGATTAACGCACGAAAGAGATGGTAAGTGCCAATGTGGTAGGCGACCTTTTCTGAAAGAGAGATACGAAAGGGGACGAATTACTTCTCTGTTCGGCTTGGTTATGTTCGTTCTATTTCAAGTCATTTTGCTGTTTGGTTCGTCGAAGATTCTTTGTTACAACTCTGGCTCTCCTCAGAGTTGCAACATCAAGAATTGCTTTGAGCTGTGCAATGACGCTGGAAGATGCATCTTAATCTGTCCAAGTACTTCTTGAGTAAGTGCCGAAGTTCGATCGAGAGCTTTGCTGAATCCGATCAAAGTTTGTTTCATTCAGTAGAGGTACTCATCCTTGATTAATTATTTCGTTCTGGGACTTGGTCTTTCTCCAAAGTGTACCCTACCCATAAAACACAAATTAAGTACCTGCATCAAGGTTTTTTTTTTTTTTTTTTTTAATTTGCACCACCTAATAACTGCATTCTAGTCCACGTGTTCCTTTTATTTTATTTTATGTTTTAATTTCAAGGATTTTATAAGCAGAGGAGGAGTGGAAGGAAGAGGCAGGGAGGACAAGAAAATTAAAGACGACGAGAGTCAAATGGCAACGACATTTTCGTTCAATTGAGATTAGTTATCAAACATTCGCATCACGGTTGGTGTTTGTATGCGCGTACGGGTGTGGGTGTGGGTGCGTGCAGAAGCTGTATAGAGCTGGGCAAATATGTGTACGACTTCTTGGTAGTTCTTGTTCTTTTTTATTTTTTGGTTCTTTTCCTTTCATTTGCGTTTCAAAATGACTACTCCATACCTAAGAAAAGAAAAGAAAAGAAAAAGATCTTTGCCACAAACCAACTTTTGATATTCTATTGGTAAGTTTTATGCCACTTGACAGCAATTTAAGATCTTTCTCACAAAATTATGGCAAAAGTATGATAATATGTTTGTATTTGGCTCAATGTTCAAGCGAAGGCTGATGCAGAAAGTGATAACATGTAGTAGTATTTATTTCCGAGGATGTATCAAGTATATAATCCTCCCTTCCGTTTTGGATCAATTTTGTTTAACGCAATCATTATAGTAAGATTAGAATTTGCATTCTTATATGATTTGACATATACCCAAGTTGGCCCCGTTTTCCTGCCCCTCCATGTGTTTTTGTGTCTATCGTATGTTGTGATGGTTAGCAATTACTCCTATTAACTTCTTATACAGCAGTCATTGCAAAAAAGACACCAAGACTGCTGCCAGAGTAGTAATTGTCTTCAGTTGTCAAATGTGTACTACCTTCTTGAAAGAGAAAAGACGCGGGGGAGAAGCAGTGCAACATCATAGACAAACTAAAACTGATTTGTGTGACATCTGATCCGGGTTACACATTAAACGATGTACCACGAAATTCCAACACAAATATGCTAGGATGCAACATTTCCTAATCACTCCAAAAGCAAGTTAACATGACATGTTCAACATGCAGATATCATTGGTAAACAGAAAGGTATAACCTAGCTTCATATATGGACACCATAACGAGGGGGAAGCAGCAGAAACGGAAAAGAGAAGGCCATGCGAATCAGGATTGACCTGCAGGCTCTTCTTGCAGACAGAAGTGTTTTGGGTTTCAACTTCCTGAATTCTAACGCCTATTGTTAGTTTCTCAATCACCTAATAGCATAGCTAACTCAAAGCTTCAATCCGCCCACCCTCCAACCCCCAAACCACCTCCCTGAAAAGAAAATAACACCCAGATGCCAGAATCGATCTACATTTACAGCTTTGGCATCAAAGTAAGCAAAAAGCAAGAAAAATGCAGATGGAAATGTAAAAACGAAACTCCCATTATTGTTATCATGATGATCAATCCTGTGGCAATATTCAATAGACCAGTCCAACAACGCCACCATTGTATAAGCACTTCTTAAGTACATGGATAGGATCAACAACGCCAATACCTCCTAAGAAAACAGCAACTTTCAACTGAAAATTTTTGATATATCGACAAAACAAGGTTCAAAATTCTACAACATTACAAGTAAAGCACATGCGTTAATAAACTCTTGAACAATGGAAACAGGAAAATCCAGAGTCTCAGGGAACAATAACCACATGAACATCGGCATAAAAATTCATAATTGGTTTTAATTGGAAAGCCAAATTCCACAGGGCAGTGCTAGGCAAGGGGCTCATAGTACTCGCCGCGGGACATATCCCGATCGATGAAGAGAATTGCGTAGAGAGCATAGATTATTCCCGGAACGTACCCGAGGATGGTCAATACTAAGCAGATAAAGAACTCTACCTGCCCAAAATTCACCCAAGCATTGGAAAAAAAAAAAAAAGATACAAGAATTAATTAAATTGAGCATCTAATCTAGGTAAAATGAAGAAGAAGAAGGACGAGGCTTACAGTGCAGCAGCCATGCCGGAGACAAACGCCGAGAGGGGGAAGGAGGATCGCCAGTATAATCTCGCAGCAGATTTCACATCTGGACGCCATTCTTCAGCCTGATCCTTGTTTATCCAGACGAAGCGATATTTTTCTTTCTCCTTTTTTACTTGTTTTTGCGCGTTCCTGGAAGATTGATTTGGGGGAAAGGAATAGAAAAAGGTGGATTTATCGAAATTTTTGGGGATTCTTTTCTTCTCCTTCTTTTTCCTTTTTTTTTTTTTTTAAAAAAAAAACTTGCGGTCAACACCCTCTGTCATTAATGGAGAAACATGACAAATGTATTGATGGAGAAATATGACAAATGAGCCACACTGCGTAATGCATCTTTTTTCCCGTCATTTTTTAAATTATTTTTTTTAGGACCCGTGAAGAGAGATTTAAGAAGTCGGGAGAGGGGATAGAATTCGAGCCCCCGAAACTCAAACTTAAAAATAAAAATAAAAATGGAATGAGCATAATAGTTTACTTGTGTAGTACTAGTAGGAATTCATGAAGATTTCTATAAATTTTTTTTTAAAAAAAAAACACATGAAAATTGAGAACTTCTTTGGTCAAGTAATTTTTCTATTTATCTTTTCTTCTACTCTATAACGCTTGCAATTATGCACTAAGATCACATAATTCTAGCACGCGACTTTTTCTTATTGATTTTTCTTTTCTTTTGAAAGAACTTTTTGGCTCCGTTTAGATTAGGTGTTTTTTGAAAAATTTTATTGTAGCAGAGTTTTTATAGTATGTTTTGGGATATTTAAGAGTAGAAGAGTTTTTAATTAGAATATATTTTGGGATATTTTTTAAACATAAAAAAAAATTTCAACTATTTTTTAGAGTGCTTTTTAAAAATTTTAATAGTATTTAAAAAACTAATTTTTGAAAAATTCTTAAATCCAAGCAGAGCCATGGTGTCTCATACTAACAAGCATTAAACAATGCCCTCTAATGGCGTCTTTAGCATAGTTTTGAAGATATGAAAGATCATGGCAGAGGTTGACTCACTAATACATATGTAACTCTTCTCATAATCTCTCGGTGAATCTAAATAAATAAAAAAAAAAGGACACTATTTAGTGCTGAAAAAATGTCACAGCGATCAATGTCAAGGCATCAGATATTTATTGGTTCTCCACAAATTGAATTGGGCTATTACAACTTGGTTCGAGTTTAATAGAAATATCAAAATTACTGAATAAGTATGTGGGTGCAAGAATTCTAATATGGAAGTAGAAAAATAGGAAGGGGAATATTGGAAAATGTGAATATTATGGAGAGAGAGAGAGGACTATGCAGTGAGAGGACGCCACTGATCGTCCGGGTGGGAGCCTCTAACCACTATGGCGTAGACGGCGTAGATAATGCCCGGGATGTAACCTAAAAGCGTCAGGACCAAGCATATGAAGAACTCGCACTGCCACAGATTCACAAACGTTCATCAGTAATTATAACTCATCTATTTGTCTGTCCAAAGAAATTGATTCATCTCTTTGTGCATGTGAAATTGGAATTTGGATCAAGGGTTTCAACAATAATTAATTACGCTAAGCAAATACTCCACCATCCGGGACAATGAATGTGGCCTCGTTCTCTTCTCGGTTGATTTTTTTATATTTTACAGAATCTATAATCATTAAAACTGATTATGGAATCAGCACAAGCTACTTTTTAGGTGATTTTAGTTTTTTTAATCATTTAAAAAAAATCTATAATCAGACTATAAAAGCAACCAAAAAACATCGCAAAAAAACTAATTCTCTAAAATCAGAATCTATAATCAGTTAAAACAATCAATCGATAACAAGCCCGATGTACATTCGATGTTCATTGAAAGCAGTGATGTATATATGAAGAAAATATTAATGGATTTTAAAAAACTGGAAGTGGTGTCGTATATGTGTGAATTGAAGTATAATCATCAATCTTTAGGAAGTATCATTATTGATCTTGTTCGAAACCCTAGCATTTTGACAGGATTTGCTTGGAGGGTGTGTGGGAGAGAGAGAGTGTGCGTAGCTTACGCTGCAGCAGCCATCTCTTAGGCAAACACCGAGTGGCGGGATGAATATTGCGATGAGGATCTCTAAGAAGACTTCACATCTAGATGCCATCCTGATAGCTGATTCCTGCTGCCGTAAAGAGTTGGAAGAAATGGTGTGGGGATTAATTCTACTTTGGGGTTCAAGATATAGGAGAAAAATTCAAAGTTTGCATTGATGATTAATCAAGGAAATAAGAAATTCTCGGATCACATTTTGACCTAGTAAAGTGTAACAAATGGTCAAATCGTTGTTATAAAGAATGGAAAAAAGGTCAGCCCTCGCTACTATTCAAAGAAGGAGAAGAAGCCCTTCCCTGTTCCAATAGTTGAGTTGAGGAGAGCTGCCAGGGAAAGGTTCAAGAACAGCAAAGGCCAACCAAGAAGACCAATTCCCCCTCCGAAAAATGGCTTGGTTGTTAAGAGCCTAACTCCCCTTGCTTACAGTGTGCTAAATGCAAGAATAACGTTGATTAACAATCTCAAGAAGTTGTTGAAAGTGGTGCCCGTTCAAGGTTGCAAGTAATGTTCTGCCTAATTGATACTTATTCATGTCTGTCATCTAGCATATTACTGGCCTTTTTAGAACTGCATAAATATTACTCCAATAATTTGAATGTCTAATAGTCTGAAGCTTGCCTTTTTATTTCCTTCATACAATTTGTGAATTTGATCCCATATTATCCTTATGTTTCATTCACAATGATTATCTTAATTTGCTATTGACATTTCTTGAGACCATTGAGTCCTACAAGTCAAGATGTTTTTGGAAAATTTATCTCTTATACAATGCACCTTCAAACTTTTTCCTGCAAACTTTTTGAGTTAGAATATGTCAAAACTAATGCAGGTGGTGCAATGAAATTCATGTGGGACAGTTTGGTCATCCATTCAGATCATGCAAAGGACCAACAGCCTCAATTCGTAAGGGAGAGCATGAGTGGGGAGATGCAGTAATTGAAGATATACTGGTGCCAATTGAAGCATACCACCTCTATGATCGTCTGCAAAGGCGTATCACACACGATGAGAGATTCTCGATCCCCAGAATCCCTGCACTAGTGGAGCTCTGCATTCAGGCAGGGGTTGATTTGCCTGGATATCCTACAAAACGAAGAAGAAAACCAATCATACGAATTGGGAAAAGTGAGTTCATTGATGCAGATGAAAGTGACTTGCCAGACCCTGAGACAGAAGCTCCCATGCCACGAATATTGACTGAAATACCTGATGGAGAAATTAATCCCCTTCTAGTGCAGAAGAAATTGCTGTGCTGGCTGAGGAAACACTTCAAGCATGGGAAAAAATGAGGAAAGGGGCCAAGAGGCTGATGAAGATGTATCCTGTGAGGGTTTGTGGATATTGTCCAGAAGTGCATGTGGGTCCTAGTGGACACAAGGCCCAAGTTTGTGGAGCTTACAAGCATCAGCAACGTAATGGGCAGCATGGATGGCAGACAGCTGTTCTTGATGACTTGATACCTCCAAGATATGTGTGGCATGTTCCTGACGTCAATAAGCCTCTAGCACGAGAGCTTAGAAATTTCTATGGTCAAGCCCCTGCTGTTGTAGAAATATGCATACAGGCGGTGCTGCTGTGCCTGAACACTACAAACCCACGATGAGGTTGGATATTGGAATTCCTAAAGACGCTAAAGAAGCTGAAATGGTCGTTTGATTTTTTTTATATCCATTTCAGAAATAGAACTAGTAATTGCATTTTAAAAAAAATGAAAAGGAAATCATACGCCCTTGATCTTCACTCGGTGGTATGAAGTTGAGATACATTTCGTTACAGTATTTCAGCAGATGAAGGCAAGTTTCGAAAATCAGAGCAGAAAGCTTGGCTATCTGAGAGTTATTGTTGCCCTGCTCTTCTAAAGGAACAAAAGACTTGGTGCACTGACATCTCTCCTGCAGAGTATTCCTGTTCAGCTGAAAGATTTGCTTGATGAAAAGTGTCAGATAGCCTTTCGGCCTTTTCTTTGGCTGGTCTAGAATTTGGAAACAGTAAGATCTTGCTCAGCCTCGGATCCATGATGTGATATCAGTTGGGGTGCTGTATAGATTTGCAGTTGCATGCATCATTTATATTGATGAATATTAGAGGAATCAGGTTTCAATTTTCTCAAATTTCATACTCGGTGTATATGAGACATTTAATGTGTATACCATTGTGCTGTAGTGTTAATACAGTTGGAATGAAAGATATAATAGTGCTCATTAATGATTCAGTATAGAGATAGTAGTACTCGTTTAACTCTTTAGAGCCTTAAAATTATTCAGGTCACTTGAGAGAAGGCAAATCTGTATCAGCAGTACACTATAATGTCTTAGCAAAACTATCATGCAAATAAAGACATTTATTGCAATGATCCCAATCTACATTCCACTCAAACAAATTAAAGAACTCCTGTAAAAAAATCAAAAATAACAATCTGGTCTCATGAAGCCAGATGGAGCAGGAATAAATCCTCTGGAGCAAGTTAAATTTTAAGGCATCATATCTGTGATCATGAAGATCTTTTCAGGTACGAGGACGGGTGTTTTCAGGAGTAGCAGTTCCAGTGTAACTCTGGCAACGTCAAGAGCAGTGGCTTCGGGCTTCTTGTGGGAAAACAGCGTAAAATAAGCCAACGTAGCAACACATGCAAAACCAGCCATAGCCATTCTGGCTGGACAATAGGGCAACTTTCTTGTCTGATGGAGTACCTCTGAACTATGCTGTGGCGAAGGTATCTTTGGTGATGCCTGGCTTGCCCCTGCCCCTGCCCCTGCCCCCGCCTCGGCGGTCGGTTGCCCCATAATGGGTGTGGCTACCCCAGCTGCCGTCATGGCTTGCTGACCCCGTGGCGGAGGTGCCTGGAACCTCCCTGATTGATTATTGATTCCTGGATTTCCTGCCATTGCGTGAAAACTTTTGCTCTAGCTCTTCACCTCTAGCAAATGTGCATGTGGTTTTGTTGTCTTGGACAAAAAATAATAAGATGGATGCCAAGCCAAGGTGTGAAGAATAAATAGAGGATAAAACGTATTCATCTTTCGGACAAGTGGAAAACCATAACTGCAGGAAGAACAATTTCGACAATTGGCACCAAATGAGTTCAACCGAAAAACATTGCAAGATCGAGTGATTTTTATCCACGAAAGCGGTAGAATAGTTCTATTTCGGGACTTATTACACACTATGCTACGCTTCCGCACAAAACTGATTCATACCAACTTTACACGTGTCTCCCTCCCTACACTCACCTTCTTCTTTTATATTGTCCATTTTGGTGGTCTTAAATCTTGCATATGCGTGTTTGTAGAAAGGAGGATTATTTGTATGAATTTTTGGATTATGCCGTGACACTTTTTTTTTGTAACGTGATGTATATATTATAAAACATTAATTAAAAATGTGCTTTAGCAAAATTAGATATATTATATATACCTTTAAATTAATCTCATTTGTACACCATATTCACCTTGACATTCGGTCGCCATGAATGATGAGTGCTAATCATTGAATCTCACGTCATGCTTTTGCAAAAATAGAGAGCGGCAATATGTACCCTAACTTGAATTATGCTACATTTTTTAAAACAAGTAATATAAATTTTGTTTTTAAACTTGACTATATTATTTATTTATTTAAAAGTATGATAAAATGAAATTAAATCTTCTATTAATATCTATATATTTATTATATATATCTTTCTAAGTATAATAATTAGTATCTAAAAGCATTCTATTATATATTTTATGTATATTAAAATTACTATTTTATATTTACAAATATTAAATTAGTACTCACCGGTTCAACCAGTGACCCAGTCCCTCTGCCGGCTTCCTTACTGGGCCGAATTTAATAACTAAAAGTTGTATAAGAGTTGAGTGCTTTTGTAGATTAATCCAGTTAACTTCTTTTTTTTTTTTTCCGAAACAAACCATTCTATCAAAATACTTATCAATAATTCTTTCCTAAATGCCTTCACTATTAAAAAAATCCATCACTATAAGGAAAGGTTATGAATGCGATCCGCAATTTTTAACGAAAGGATTGATAATTATATATGTAAGTATCTTTGCATTTCTAAGAATGAAATTTATAGTCAATTACGCTACTTAATATTTTCCTTTTCAAGAAAAAAAGGTGACAATGAGAAGATATCTATGTCGTTTCAAATTTTCATTGTTTTGTGATGAAATTAACGGTGTAGTTGTTTATTATACTATTATGTACAAATAGAATTGAGTAAAATGAGATTTGGATACATATATACATAAAATAAAAGGGTGAGATGGAGGAAGTATTTCATAGTAACAATACTAGTATAGTATACAATGAATAAATACATTAGGCATAAAAAAAAAAATTAGAGAATAAACACATTGGAGCTAGCTAGTATATATTGTCAGTTTCGTCATGTCCCAAGTTCGAAAGGTCTACTATTCCACTACCCTGTTCTCTTCTCATAATCTATTCCTCTGCTGCATAGATTTCATCAATTACCCAAAACCTCGCATTCAGATAGCTGCTTTTCTGTGTGAGTGTGTGAGAGAGAGTGCAAGGGAAAGGGACAATGGTAGTCTCATACCAGTCTTCATCCAAGTTCGCTAATTTCCAGTTCCATCCTTCCCCTCCACTCGACCATTTCCGTAAGCCCCCTTCCTTCCCCACTTCACATATTTCTGTGTGTTGTATATAGTATATACAGTGAATATATCTTCAACTCTTTCTATAATTTTTGTGTTTGATTGTCTTTGCGGCTTTGGTTCTGCTCTTTTTTTTTTCCAGGTCAAAAACCAGCTGGGTTTTTCCTCTGCACCTCTGTTCGCCCTGTAATTCCTCGTCCATCAATTTTGCATCTTTTCTGTGTACACACATACACACACGCAAGCACACACTTATTGGTGTTGTAATCATTTTAATTGGAATCCATTGTTTTTACCCATGTTTAGATAGCTATATATGTATTCAATTCTGTGGGGGAGATAGCTAATGAGGAAGGGGTTAAAGGCTGATTATTATGCTTACTACTAATTATTTGAGAGGGAACGAAAAAAGTTAATTTGTGGAAGTTAATACACACACAGATATATATGCATGTATGTGTATATATATACATTGGTTAGAGATGAAAATATGAGTTGTTAGACATTGATTATTACAAATTTAGTTGGCGTTGGCTTTTTGAATGCTAATATGACATGACGCTTGCTCCCTTAGGCGGCTTGGTGGTTGATTTCTCAAATTGAATTTGGAGATAGAAGTTTCCCAATTGAAGTAGAAGTTATGTTTTGCTAGTCATGTAGCATTTGATTTCTGTTTTCTTGGTAAGAATTAGAGATTAATATTTAATGTTGTGCTTCAAATTTAGCCAATAAGGTTTGATTCTACCAGTTTTGTGGTTTTTAGAATTTAGTAGAGCTCTCAAGACTGGATTTTCAGCATATTGTCGGGTAACGATGATGGAAGCGTAATAGTTGCAATTTTGTCAGGCGTGTTGTCCACATTGAACTTGAGGGATCGTTGTTGTGACATGCATTTGACTGCATTATGACCTCAGAAGTCTAGGTAACAAGATTCCATTCAAAATTAACAATTCTAATAATGAAGGTTAATACTGTCAGAGGCCAAAAAAGTAACTTTTCTGTCATTTGTCCTAACATGGAAGTAGTTTATGGAATACCTTTTACATTTTGAAATATTTGAATCTGGTATTTGCATAAGTTTTGGATTGATTAGTAGCACTTTAGCCCTGCAAACCAAGTTCACTTGAATTTGTTTGTGATCCTTCCTCATTCTTTTATCTCTGAGTGCTCTTCTATTGGAGAGAATGTGGAAGAAATATAGAAGAAGAACACCTTTATTTTCTCTTTTGTAAAATCTGATTCAGCTTGTTTGATGACCAAACCCTTGTCCTATACATGCGATAGTTATAAATTTGAATGCCTACACGGAGAAGATTAAAATTGTTTGTAAATGTAGAATCAAAGTAACATGTTCCGTGGCCTTTTGTTTTTCCTATAGGAGAGCATGTGGGCTATGTCAAACATATGATATGATGTGAACTAAGGGTCCTCGTGCCTTGGCCAACAGTAGAATTATTTTGTCTGTGGAGGCAGCCAAAGGCTTTGTGCACTGCTGCTATGGTGGCTGTGCTGTCACTTTAATTTACTATATCCGCTCACATTTACTCCCAGCTGGAACCAGAAAGCACTTACTCTTTAAATGGCACCTTATAAATGACATATTGATAAGGCACATGGGATTTTTAACACTAATCCATCTTTTAGAGCAAGCCTTTTGTTCGACTGACTTGGATGTCTGCCAATTTCAAAATTAAAGAGGATCTCTGCTTTTGGCTTTGTGTTTTGTGTGTGTGTGTGTGTGAGAGAGAGAGAGAGAGAGAGAGAGAGAGAGAGAGAGAGGATCTCTGCTTTAAATCCTGTTTGATTCTTTATGCAATTTATTGGCAAATGCGATCTCTATATTTCATTCAAAAGGTAAATGTATAACTTCTCATTTCTATGACTACTACAAGGTGCTAATGCTATTTAGAAACCCAATTTCCTGCCACACAAAGATACTGCTGTCAATGAGATTTTTGACTGTCTTAACTGCATTCATCTACAGAAGTCAAATGCTCATAATAGATTCCGCTTTGGTCTTTTTCCTCTCAAACATTCTACTTGGAGAATTTCAAACATATGTAAGTTCATTCTGGACATACATGATTGTCAAACACTCCTTAACTATTACTTTCACGTTCTGTAATGCATCTTCTTGATTGATGTATGTCGTGACTGTGTTTCTGTTCCCTAAAGTAACAGCCTTGTCGTGTTACTTACTGATTATTTATGATGTCAGTTTCAATAATGTTGATTTTCTTTTGTTAATTTGTGTGAGCTGCCAAGGCTTTTTCTACTCTTTCTTTTCTTGTCAGTGGATTTTGCTGTCAAGTTCTTGAAATTTGCAGTGACACCTTTATCTTCCTATTTGAAAATATTTTGTCTGAATAGTACAGTATTCTTTGCTTTTACAGCTGATTTAATTATTATTATATGAATTGTATAACAAATACACTGCAATAAGTTGAAAAGCAGCTTGCAATAAGGTTTCCATTTTAATTTTTACCATATAAATTCATGATAGTCCCATGTTGGAATACAACATGATAGTTTCATTCAATTTGCTATTCAGCTGCATCTTTGAATTAAATTACCTAAGAATCATTAATTGAGTTACTTTGTGTTATTTGTCAGACTAAAGTCTGAGTTTAGATTTTGCATCCGAATAAGATAAATTTCATGAAGTTGTCATACTTGATCTTTTTGCTTGTGTCTAGCTGGAAACATCTTGCAAACTCTTGTTTATGATAAATCATAAATTCCATAAGAGCTATAAAGATGATTTTGATCCAACCTCTTAGAAAATTTGACTGGGAGATGGATGGTGATAGCAAACCTAGTCAAACTTTTAAAATTTGTTTGAAATTGGATGGTGAATTGGGAAATAGGAAATATATTAGATTGCAACGTCATTTTTGCCCAAAATGATGTCTTCACTCTGAAAGTCTCGGTCATGTATTGAACCAATGATTGTACTGAGTTTCCCATGCATATCTGGATGAAATCTTGAACTATTATAAGGGTTTCTTCTGAAAGTTATATTCTTTGTGAGGCATTAGTCGTGGAGCAGTGAAAGTGAGTACTAAGGTTTTTGTGAAGAGTACTTGCTGTTTCTATAGAGTAATACTGGCTCAAAATATTCAAAAATCATGAGTACGAAAAATTTTGCTTATAACTAGATATAAAATTTGATTTCTGTATCACATATCACCTGGGGCTTTCCCTAAAAATTTAATTATCTATAGAAATATGGCTCATTGGAGAGTAAAGAAATTGCTGAAAGTATGAATGTAGAGATATTAAGCATGTAGTAAGTTTGTCATTACAGTAGTATTCTTATAATTTTGAGTGTCCTGTCTGCTTCTGTTTCTCTGCCTATGCTCTGACTTTTAGAGATCGTATCCACTGCCTTACATATGATTTTCAAGGTATATATATTTATGTTTGTGCGTATGTGTAGATGTGATATCATTCTTTTTGTTCATAACAAAGCCAGTTATCGTACTTTCCATCCTTTCTTTACTATCTCTTCGGCATTCTTTCTTTGCAATAAAACTGAACTTTGGGCATTGAAGATCTAATAATTTGTCTATTTTCATACTAAATTTTTACAGATGATTTACAAGTAAAAGAAGGTGTGCTCATGCATCTCGGTTATCTTTTTCCCTGTCGAGAAGTTTTGTGGAGTATATGATGAATGTGTTTCAGATAGGTGTAAATTGTCAAGATGCATCATTAGATCTGATATTTCTGCCAGTTGTTCTGCTAGTGCTTCCTATCCACTATCAGGTATATTTCAACGTCTTCTGTTATATTTTTTTTTTTTTTCAACTTTAACCTTTTTTTCTTCATTCTTTTGTTTTTGGTTGCAGAATCTCAGCAATCTCAAAATTCAGAGGAATTTGCTTTTATGCTGTAACTTCTTTTGTTGCCATTTTTTTGTTTGTGCTGATGGTGGTTGCACATCCTTTTGTGCTCTTATTTGATAAGTATCGTCGTAAAGCACAACACCTCATTGCTAAAGTCTGGCACTCTTGACTATTTCTCCGTTTTTGAAGATTGAATTCGAGGGTTTGCATAATCTTCCTGCCAAGGATGCTCCTGCTGTATATGTGTCCAATCATCAGAGTTTTTTAGACATATATACTCTGCTTACTCTTGGGAAAAGCTTCAAATTTATAAGCAAAACTTCTATTTTTCTCTTTCCCATTATTGGATGGGCAATGTATTTCCTGGGCACTATTCCTTTGAAGCGCTTGGACAGCAGAAGTCAACTGGTCTGTTTTTCCTTCTGCTTATAACTAATGTTCTTGGAGTTAGCTCTGCTATTTTTGATAGAACTGTTGTTTGTTTACTTCTGGTTTTGAAGTTATATTGTCTTTCCATTTTTGTTTTCCGTTAATTTGATTTAAAACTTGCAATTTTGGCACACTGATCAATTAGTTTGTGAAATCAGGATTGTCTTAAGAGATGCATGGATCTTGTTAAGAAAGGAGCATCTGTTTTCTTCTTTCCTGAGGGAACTCGGAGTAAGGACGGGAAATTAGGCACTTTTAAGGTGAGCTGCATTTTAGAAATTTCTGCTGCTTCTATAGAAAAGCACAATACTATAAGCATCCCTTTTAGAGATTCTGGTCATGTTGATTGTGGAATGATATATTTGCATTTAGATAGATGAGGTACTTTGCTTCTTTAATTAGTAATAGTGAGTAATGTTAGACACTTGGAATCAATCTTATTATATATCTTTTTCTCCATTTTTATTACCCAAGTTTGCTAATTAGTCTCAGGTATGCAAACATTCCAGCTATAATGCCATTCTCATTCTGGTGTTTTATAGAAAGGCATTCAGTGTTGCTGTGAAAACTGGAGTGCCCGTGATTCCAGTTACTCTTATTGAACAGGCAAGATAATGCCTGCAGGAATGAGGTCGACTAAACCCAGGAGGAATTAAAGTTGTCATTCACCCACCCATCGAAGGAAAGGATCCTGATTTCCTGTGCAGTGAGGCCAGAAAGAAGATTGCAGATGTGCTAATTCGTGAAGGTTATGAAACTTAATGCAACAGGAATTTTTCTGTACTGTCTTAGTGTGAAATCTTTCTTGTGGAGCAACGGAGTGCTAGCTCAAAGGTATGAAGATATGAACTTTATCATCCTCTGATCTCTCTTGCTTTGATGGTTTATATTGATTTAACTGAAAACAAGTTACAGCATTTCAACCATGTTTAGTTCCTCTTTGGAGAATTGCTTCATTTAGCATATGCGAGTCTGTTTCTCTCCCTCGACTCCCCCATCATGTCAGGGCCGGAAAGAAGATGGGCATAGATTATCTCTAATGGTATAATAAATAAACGGAAGGGTTGCTGTCACAAATTGTAAGACAGTTACAACTCTATGTATGAAATGTCAGTTTTAAAGAGATGTGCACTGACATTAGATATTTAATCTGATAGACATGAGGTGCTCTCATTTCAGATTCAGTGGTGAGCTTATCTCTTAGAATAATATTCTCTCTGTCTCTACCATCCCTTCCCTTCTGCCCTAGTAAAGATCCAAAATATTTATCTGCACATGCTCCACTTGTTCCTTTTTTCCCTTGATTTTATGTCTGGATTCTGAAGTTTTGAAGTTCCATTCATATACAGACATCATATATTTGCTCATGATTATTGATTTATTTATGTTGGTCTTTTCTTCATGTGCTTTCTGGGGTTGGGTGTTGATCTTCAACTTTAGCTAGAAATTCTTGATCCTTTCTGCTTGTGTTATTTTGCGATATGCTAATAATCTCCAGCTTCTTGAACCATTTTAGATCTAGTTTATTTCTCTCTTGTGCAAGTGTGGAGATTGCTGTGCCGAGTATTGTCTAGGAATTCGTTAGTGGTTGCCTCCCTTTCATCAAACCTGTTTCTTTCTGCTTGGTTTATTTACTCCAGAAAAGCTGAGGAGAAGTGCAAATAACCTGTAACATGTCGCTTAGTACTTTTCTGTTACTAGATTTCTTCTTGACTTGAATTTATTTGGGAGGGTCACTATGTTCATTAAAGTCTCTTTATTTTATAGAACTGCCTCAAACCACACACGTGTGGAAGAATGTTACTTTGAGGTCTTGGCGTCATCATCTGATGTTAAATCAACTCAATGATGGATATTCCTTTGCAAGTTTAATGAAAACGTACTGCCAAGAAGAAAAGAAGTCTGTTTATTGTTTCTAATTATTCGACGTACTGTCTATACTAAAAGCCTAATTACTCATATCATCTTGTGTTCCCCTTGTGCAGCTTTTTTTCGAATCTTAACTATTTGACCAAACTTTGAGGAGAATCTGAATCTGAACTTACTTCCGGTCGGCTGGTGAAGCTTTTATTTCCACCATATACTAACTGCAGTAGTGTTGCTTCCGAGAGAGAGAGCTTGTAGATTTCCATCTTGAGTTACATTTTTGGTAAATTCCGTGGTACCCTGCTTTTCCCATGGCTGAATGGCTAGTATCCTTTTAACATGTAATCATCATGATTTTCATGTGACTGAAATTATTTGTTGCTTGTAAATGTGAAGATATAGTAGTTTGCCGGCCATGAAATCGGCACTTGAAATCTTAAACATAGAGAGACACTAACGTAGAAAACTTTACAGCTTTGGCCTTATTTGGGATTTTTCTACAAATTTAGCTACCAGCCATTTTAAGTTTCAAGTTTAAGAAATGGCGGCCATTTGTAGACTTCTTTCAGTTTAATAGGCATTTACCAATTTAATCTCATTGATGTCTTCTGGTTTGAACTTACACTACCTCATGTTTGGACATTAGGTAAGTTTGTCGTCCTAGAGAATCTCAACTGCTCCATGGTAAAAAAGACAATTACTGATGACTTCTCTCATCTTTCAAGTGTTTCAGAGTATTCAATGGAAACGAATGTACAGCAACCTTAAAGTTTTGTGTTGCAGGGACTTGTTATGATAGAATTTTCAGAAGAGTAGAGAGTCTAAATCCCTGAGGCCATCATTGAAGATGGCTGGCAAAAGCATTCATTTGATCTCTTTGGCAAAACCAGCCCAACCTCCACTCCTCCCTCTGATTTCCTGCACTTTTCAAAGGACATTAGTCGTCCCCAATGCAAATGGTCAGATTGGATGGTAAGCGGCAAGCGCGGAATCACGGATTGCTACCTTTGACTATCTTCTTCAGTTACCATTGTTGAAACCTTCTGCACCCCCAGTTTCTTAGCTGATGGCACAAAGTTCCATTAACATTAACCTCCTCTTGTCAAAACTTTAAGAAGTTACGGAATTCTGCACCAGGCTATTATTCATTTTGGATCTCTGGGCGAATGATCGCCACTAGACTTACAATTATTGTTCTCTTAAGGGAGTCGGATTGGATGTCCTGGTACGTACAAGTTAAGCATTCAACTGTTCATGAAATTGATACTGCCCTCTACTAAAATTAATCATGGCTGCCGGTTACCATAGTCCAATTTCTAATTCAGGATATGCTTTGATACCTTTTCATACCAGGAAAAAGCAAAGGAGATAAGAAAAGAGGAGACAAAAAATTAGATGTAAATTGCCTAACATTAATTACTCTATCAGGATAACATTGCAGGCCTACAACTTTTCCTTCAAATGACATTTGGAATTCTTTTTTTTTATACTTCTATATATATTTATATTATTTGATTCTATATCATATATTTCTAATTCTAATTAGGAATGATTAGTTCCTTAAATTGGCCAATATTACACCAATAACCCGATCCACAATCAACTGCAATTGAAGCAGTGCCCACGCTTTGGTACTTTTATATCTTGTAGATTTGGTTGAGGTAAATGTCATTGGACAATGAATCCTAATATACATTGAAGTTTTTCTTTCTTTATACAATAAATTCAACGAAGTTCGAAAATTAGACCAAAGAAAAAAGAAGAGTGTGAATATTTTCTGGACAATGATGATGCTGGTAATTAGGAAGTATGACTTCACCCCAAGAAAAAATTGTATGCAGGAGATCAAGAAAGAAGGCTGTAGTCTTCCCCCTCCCCCCCAAAAAAAAAACAGAGAGAGAGTTAAGGACATGTGAGTTTGAAGGTTACAAATTATTCTTAACTAAAAAAATAGAAAATAATACCTAATTCTCCAACAACCCTTACATTTTATTTCTCAATCCCATGTCTTTTAGACAAACACACAAATGTTTAAAATCTCAAAAAACAGAAAATAACAAAAGAGAGAGTTTTACTTATGTTTATATCTTTCAAAATTACATTATTATCTATGATACCACTAGAGTCCTTAGAGAAAAAAAAAATACTTATTTATTTAGAATAAGCTTTGCCCGATTTGTAGTCAATGTATTCTTCCCATCTTAGACCGTCACACATTTGCATTTTTCTACGGCCTCAAGCCAGACAAGTACGTAGAAGAACCGCTGCCACAATTTTAAAGGTGCAACTCGTAGGGTGGAGGAAATGAAAGGAACGGACCGTCACTCGTTTGCACTTTTCTACGGCCTCAAGTGAATGGAACAGACCGTCACTCGTTTTCAATTTTCTTCTGCCACAATTTCAAATGTGCAAATCATGGGGTGAAAAGAATGAAAGGAAAAGAACGCACTCGTTTGGATTTCTCTAAAACCTTAGGGATGGCAATGGGGCAATTCTGCATAAATATATATATATATATATATATATATATATATATATATATATATAAATATACAAAAGTAACAAAATCCCTAACTGTTCAAGATATTTTTAGTTAGTATTTGAAAATTCTTTCTCTCTCCTGTTAGTTCTCAAAATGCTTGGACATACGAGGAGAGTTTTGCTTTTCGTATAGGCTTGCTTCTGATTTTTTTGTGTTTCATGTACTAGGCTTTTGTGTGCATAAATTTCTGAGTTGTTCAATCCTTTTAAATAGCCATGGATATAACTTATTATGGTGGGGGTCATCTTTAACTAATTAGTTCAGGAGACCTGTAAATGCTATTACTTAATGAAAAAAGTTTTATGTTGTTGTAAAGCTATGTTGTGACTTTGGATATGAATCTCTGGCATCTTATGTACTAATACTCGTTTTACGGCAATTAAATGGTTTAAGATTTTAGTATTATAAAAAAAGATAGCCATGGATATATGTATAATGCTGAAATAACTCCAAATGATATATTTTGGTCAGGAGATGGGCTAGTAACTAAAAAGCCAGATATACATAGAGGGGCAATCAAGTGCAACCTAATAAAAAATTCAGTGAATTATTGTAAATGAACATTTTATGATAAGTTGATTTCTTTTCTCGCGGGGGAAACGGGGCAGGGGTGGGGGGCAAGGGACGGGGGATAGGGCAGGGGACGGGGGAGTGATTTGACAACAGGGCGGAGGATGGGGGAAGGAACCCCCGCCCCATTGCCATCCCTATACAGCCTCAAGCCTGCCAGACGACCACTGCCACAATTCTGAATGGAAAAATCATTTTAAAAGTTCCTCATATTTTATAAAATAATTTTTTATATCCGCCTTTTTTAAAGTGTAATTTTACGTTTCTAATAAATTTACTTTGATCAAATTTGATTTCTACCTAAGTTTTCAATTAGTTTTTTATCGAAATCCACCACGTGTCTTGCATGTTATCATTTTTTAAGAACAAAATTATCAAGTCAAATTTTACATAATCCGGTCCATAGTGTCTCACATTTTATAAAATGAATTATTTCGTCCCCAACATTTCATAAAATGAATTTTTTTATCTCTCACATTTTACAAAACAAACGTTTTCATTTCTCATTGACCATGTGTATAAATAGTTTTTTAATCTATGTATATATCTATTTAATTTTATTTAAATAATACAAATAGTATGTAATATATCTCTATTTGATTTTATCTAAACAGACTAATTGTAGTTGTATACATGCTATTCAATAGATATATACATAGGTTTAAAACTAACAATTTTATTTTAAATTCATGTATATATCTCTATTTGATTTCACCATGTAAACCTATTCAATATTTGTAGAATTTTTTTTTTTGATAATAATTCATTTATTGAGTTGTATATTAGAACCATCTAATGAATAGGTCCTAACTCGAAATCTATAGTCATATTAATAAATTACAATTTAAATCTGAAAATTCTACTCATTACCTTTAAGACCAACAGTTGAATTACTTATTTTGTGATTATCTTAAATTTGAAAGTATCAATCATTTACTTCTTTTTGTCATATTTTTCCTTTGTTTATTTTTTCTATCCAATTTTTAATTTGATATAAACAATCGATAATATTTAGAATTAAATGTTTTCCTTGTTTTCAAATTTCGAGTAAAATGAAATAAGTATGAGTGAAAAACTAATAATTTAACCCATGTATATGTATTTGATTCCACTTGAACAGTACATTTAGGCGAAATCAAATAGAAATCTATTGCATACTATTCTTATTGTTCAAGTGAAATCCAAAATATATATATATATGGGTTTTAAAAAAAAAAGCTATTCGTACACATAATTAATGAAAGATGAAAAAATTTATTTTGTAAAATATGAGGGATAGAAAAATTCATTTTGTAAAATGCAAGAAACGAAAAAATTCATTTTGTGAAATTTGAGAGACTATAGATGGGACTCTATAAAATTTGATTTGATAATTTTGCCATTAAAAATGATCACGTGCAAGACACATGATGAATTCAGGTAAAAACTAGTCCGAAACCTAGGTAGGGATCAAATTTGATTAATATAAAATTGTAAGAAAAGTAAAATTACACTTTTAAAAGTGAGAGACAAAAAAAAATATTTTGTAAAAGACATTTTTACTTGCTAAATAAAAATATTTCTAAATCACTTTGGTCATTTCAAGAAAACAACCACCTAAAAAATAATCTCCTGCATCATGCTATATCCCATAAAATTATAAATTCAAAAAATAAAAAAGATATTTGAAAAGAAATGCACTTGCATTAATTTAATTTTATATGCTTAAAATCGATCTTTTATGAATTTATATTTTTTTTCAATATCTTCTCGACCCTTACTTAAACCATTAAAACTTGACTCGCAATAAGGAAATAAATTACACCTCACTTATCACAATCACAAAAAATAAAAGATAAATAAAATTCAATTTATTATAATTTACAAATAAAATATTACATAGTTATCCAAAAAATGAGTAAGAGAGAATAATGGAGAAAACGGAAAAAGAAGAAAGTAACTTTTGTTTGACAGGTACCGAACCTGTGCAATAATAATAAAAATCTAACCATCACCAAAAGCAGCTAATAATCAATTCCAGGTATTGGAGCAGATACTCTAGATGTGCAATGGATTACTTGATTTACCCTGATTTTGAAGAGTGTGCTTAATCCGATATACCATAATTGACTAATTGACGAAATTACTAACTAGTAGACAGTAGCAAACAGAGTCGTCTCCTCAGGGATTGAAGGAAAGTTCCTTTCTTTTTAAACCAAGACAAATAGAGGGTTAAAGAATTAGATGCTAAAGAATCGATAACTAAATAAATTAACTGTAAAAAATAATTAATTGAGAGAAATAATTGGAGAAATTCTAGTCAAGGATATACTTCAGAAATGATTTATGCAACTGATCATCGATTCAAATATAATTCCAACATTCATTAAAAGATCAGTTATACCTGTCATACACTTGATAAACAACCAATTTTTTCTTATTTTTTGGATAGTCAAGTTACGACCGTTGATTATTTCTCTAACCAAGAAATAACCGTAGGTACGACCGTAGGATTTAATTTTTAAATTGCATTAAAAATTAGAAAAATTCAACCCTAACTAACAAACACGCTATGAGGATTTGTTTAAATTAAATCGTATGTTTTCCTGACATATACCCAATTATACCAGTTGCTACTGGGACGGAAGTAATCAAACAATTATGGATTCAACTACCCCCAATTAGCAAATAAACTACGTGAATAATTAAATATTTCACAACTATTCAATCATACATAATAGTTATAACAATTAAAGGCAGGAACATACAAATACCAATAAATAAAGGAAACAGTTAAAATAATTTAGATTTCGCAATTATTGTTGAACCAAATTTTCAGTTGTCCCCTTGACTAGAAATAAGAAGTTAATTCTCTATCAATGGAGAACAAGCTATGCAAAACAATTGAGAAGTGACGTCCATTCTTGTCTCCCAAAATAGATCAACAGAGAAAGAAAGAACAAGAAAAATCGTTTCTTTATTTGTCTATAGCAAAAGCATAAAAGAGAATCTGATGTCTCTCCAATTCGGTCAAAGAGAGAAAAAGAAAAATGGAACACGTCAACAATTGTGGTCTTTTCATTGCTTTTCACCCAATTTTGCCCAGGAATAAAGAAAAGTCAAGAGCCAAAGAAAAAGTACAACGCCCTTACGTCTCTAGCCACACAAAAGATGGAAACAAATTGTCTGAT